GTACCGTGCGGAGTACAGAACAGGATTCGAGTCGGGTTCCAAGTTCCGGGAGCAGGTCCGGGCTGCACTGCAGGATGTGGGAGCCACATATTCTTGGAATTCAAAGCCCTTGGAATAAATTAGTTCCCTGGGGACCGAGGGAGCCAGGAGAGTGGGTGGGGCTGAGCACAGGTGGCATTTCAGGGGGGTCGGGGGGGGAAGGCAACGGGCCATTAATTCACAGCCGGGGGAGACGAGTTCTCTCGCACCCCGTGCAAAACAGTTCCCGATAAACCAATGACTTAACAATAAAAGGTGGGATTTGGAAAGAATACAGCTGACGGTGGGCGACAGGGCAGCAGGTGGCTGAGAGTCAGGCTCTGGGTCAACGGTCCCGGTTCACATCTGCCTGTGACCTCTGTGACCTCGGGAAGGCCTCGCGGCTCTGTGCCTCCTGGCCCTGCCTGGGGGATGGACTATGAGAGAGCTGCCTTGTGGAACAAAGGAGGTGATGCGTGGTGGGGGCCTGACACCCGGAGGCACCCCGGCCTTACTATTATGGTTGTTGTTTGCTGCTTGGCCGCCTGAGTGTCTCGGAGCACGGAAGGCCCTTCTGAGTTAGACCCACACCCGGGGGCCAGAAGCCTGGAAGACAGAGAAATTGGAGTCAAAAGGCCACGCGTGATCCCTGACTGACAGTTTCAGAGAAGGTCCATTTCCCTAATGTATGAGGAACTCCCGTGAGTCATTTGTTAAAAGAGCCCAATAGAAACCTCGCAAGCTGAGATCAGCAAACCTCCGGGAAGGAAGGGGACACACGGCCCCGCACCCACGAGGACGTGCCGTGGCCCCGAGAGGAGAAATGCGGACGAGGCCACTGAGACCGTCGGTCACCTGCCAGACGAGTGAACCTCAGGGCAGAGCCTCTAACTAACACACAGGAGGTCCTGGGTGCATCCCGGGGGCGTGAACATCTGTGAAAGCGCCTCTGGAGAGAGCCTGAGCACCTCCCCGGGTTCAGGTGCACGCGGCTCGCGGCGCAGCCCTTCTCGTGCGGGGATTCTGCGTGGGAGACACACTGTGCAGGGGGAACTGTGTGGAGTGTCATTCGTGGCCACACTATGCACAACAGTAAGGTCGGCGAGACCCTCAAGCCCCACCCGAGGGGCTGGACGGGCATCCTGGAGCCTTGTGTGGGGCGGTGCACGTGGGACGGTAAAGTCAGGAATGGGAAAGGTCCCCACGCACTCACGGGGACTCGTCTCCGAGACACGTTGTAAGGAAGAAACAAACAGGACACCTGCACAACAGGACTGTGGTCCGTGGAAGAGCCTGTGTGGAAAAGCAGAGTTAAATGCATGCACTTTAATGTGTTACGTACTGGGGATCTCAGAGTGAACACAAACAAACCAGGCTGCGCCGGAGTCTT